ACGCAAGACCTCAAGGGCGCCGTGTTCTACGGTTGGCTCTGGAAGCGTGGTCAGTCCTTCAAGACTTGGAAGAAACGCTTCTTCCTACTCAACGGCGCTGCGCTCACGTACTACACGCAATGCTGCGTCATCGCCTCGGACGTGTTGGGAGGAGGCACCCAGTGCCTTGACCTGCCCGTTAGAGGTGGTCTACGCGTTGCCAAGGTTGAACTCTCCGACATGACCAGTTTTGGCCTGAAAATCACCAGCTCCAGTGGACGTGTGCTCTATGCGCAGGCAGGAGACCAGGAATCGCGCGAGCAGTGGCTTAAAGTGCTGAAGGAAGCACCACTCTCGCGTGGCGAGATGATGGGACCGGTGCCGCTCCGCCGGACTATGGCCAGTGACCTGTCGACGCAGCGTTCGTACCAGGCAGAGGGCAGCTCTCCTTACATGCACACGGCCATGAGCGTGCTCAGTAGCGACGACGGCGACGACACGCAGGATTGTGACATGCAGGGCTATCTACATGTGCGTGGAGGGCTTCTCCCTAGCTGGAAGAAGCGCTTTATGACGCTAACTGACGGACACCTGACTGTTCGACGTAGACGCACACAACGTCTCTCAGATCCACAGGAAGCGGACAAGCCATTTGAGGTCATCTCGGCTGTGCGCTGGAGCGGCCACGACAATGGCCTGTGTATCCGCCTGGAGAACCACAAGGAGCTGTACGTGTACGCCGACCACGATGCCGACGCGTCCATGTGGCTGGAAGCACTAAAGAGTTGCTAACTTAGACCAAGAGACGAAGAGGGGACGCTGGGTGCCTAGCACTGCGATATGAAGCAGACACACCGTTGAAGAACTGCCAACGGACCGACCGACTTTCAGCCTCGGCACGGAGCGAACGACGCCCGAGAAACCAGCCGAAACTCTCTCCCTCCTTACTTACTACCCCAGCTAAATTATTAGAGGCGATAATTATGACTAAATCCACACATCCGCCGCAAGATTGGCGGCCATTTTTGCATTCGAACTTGTTGCTGAACCTGTACGTACATCGGGTGACATGTTGGTGATGCATGTTGACAGCAGTGTGGCAACTAGTCGAGCTGTACAACGACAACGTAACGCCCGCCTCAATTAACCGAACACCCATAACTTCAACCGTTGCTGACAGCAATAATGCCGGCTAGATGGATCTTCCTTGCCAAAAGCGCGCACGCCAGCACGCACGTGATGCCATATTGCTTCTCTTGACCATTACGCAGTGCATGGAGCGCCAAATGCTTGCCAGTTTACACATTCATGTTCGTATAGCCATTTCCATAATCACCCCCCAAAAAGTCATGTGGCCCACACATATTCAGGCACGGTTAAATTCAGTCCACTACGATGTCTCGCTCTGCCCTGACCCGGCACGCCCTGCAGAAGTCTCTGCGAGGGCAAACTGCGCAGGATCAGCCTCCAGAGGAGACGCAGCGCCGTGTCAAGCAGGATGAGCTGCCAATGTACGCGTCAATCTCACGGCTTAACTCGCTCTATAGCTCGAGAATTTCGCTTTAACCCATCGTTATTTGAACCCTTCGGTTTTACAGCTACGGCAATGACACAACGTACAATCTGAACACGCTGCTGCACCAGAACATCCTGCAGTCCGCCTATTTCCACGAACTTTACAAGTTCAGGACGTACCACGAGGTGGTGGACGAGATCTACTACCGAGTGGACCATGCAGGTACAAGAAAAGCAAACTCATTTCCAATTTTGGATAAAGGTTAACTCCTTCTGATTTGACATGAAGAGCCCTGGTCACCTGGCACTGCTCGCATTCCGTCAAGCTGCTTCTGTCTGTTGCACAAGTTCTTCCTCATGCGTCTCACGCGCAAGCAAATGCAAGGACTGCTGCGACACACGGTAAGCCATATAGTTATTCTAATAGGTTAATGTTGAGGACGAGGTTATTAACGATTTGTGGTGCCTGCAGGACTCGCCATATATCCGCGCCGTGGGATTCTTGTACCTTCGCTTCACCTGTGACCCTGAAGAGCTGTGGACGTGGTTCGAGCCGTTCCTGGAAGACCCGGAGGAGTTCAACGCGTCGGCTAATCCGAGCGTGAAAACGTGAGTTAAGTGACTGGGTGACGTCGGTTGGTAAGGAAGACTGCTGCTGCTTATACTTTCGGATTCTATTGCAGCATGCAGTCGTCAGTTGGAGTCCTGAGTGTACTTTGTTGTGTCTGTAATGCTGTAGGACAATTGGAGAGTGGCTGATTTCCTTACTGGAAGAAAACAATTATTTCGGCACGATTCTGCCGCGTATCCCCAAGAAGATCGAGGACGGGATCAAAGTCAAGGTAAGTTGCTCAGGATGATGGAGTGAAACGCGGCGGAGTGTTGGCTTGGCGTGCCGTGTTGTTCGGTGGGGTTACGTTCGGCGCTTCTCGTATTGATGGAAAGGTGTGGCGTCTTTAAGCAGGAAGTTCTGACGAGGCTTTTGCTTATTTTGTTGTAGCTTTTATTGCTGTCCCGTAAGAAGGAACGTGCCAAAGAGAACCTGGCTATCATTGACCAACTCAAGCGAGGCACGAAAGTCCGCGCGATGTATGCGGATGAGGAGAACGAGCCTGCGGTAAGTTTTTTTTTATTTTACATGAGAATAAAACAGTTTTTTTTTTTTTTTAACTGAATGCTCTCTCTGCAGATGTACGACGCGGTCATCGACTCCGTCGAGGAAGGCAACCAATTCTGGGTAACGTTTATTTCAGATAGAGCACAGTTAAAGTGTGTCACTAACTGTAAATTGTACTCTATCAGGTCTCGTTTCCAGCGTATGGAAACTCGGAGAAAGTGAGTCTTGGAGACATTGAATTCGACAAAGGCAAGCAACGTCGTGGGCGCTCACCCTCGCGCTCCCGCTCCACTGGACGATCTCGTTCACGTTCTCGAGGACGTGACCGAGGCCGCGATAGAGACCGTCGCCGAGATCGAAGCAGGGATCGAGACAGTCGACGAGATAGTGACCGGCGTCGTGGCCGTCGGGACCGCTCGCGATCGCGTACTCGACGTCGTTCACGCAGCAGATCTCGATCGGCTTCGCGTGACAGACGCAGACGCGACCGCAGTCGCAGTCTCAGTCGCAGTCGTAGTCAGACGCGGAGCAAGGCAGGGTACGTTCGTAAGAGGAGTCTTGATGTAGCATGGTTGATTTTAATTGATCTATTCGTTGTGGTGCAGTGGCGGTGACATTACTGGTGACTTGCTGCAACAAGTACGTGAACGTGAACGACGCAAGGCTGAGGCGGTCGGACGTGACTACGCGTCACGACCTGCTAGCTACAAGGGCTCGCTGTCGCTAAAATTGGATCGCTGGACCACAAGGAAACGATCGCGCAGTCCAGCGAAGCGAGAGGAAGTCGTGGTGGTGCAGCCAGGTATGTCGAAGGGCGATGAGCGACCTCGAAGCAACTCTCCGTCTCCTGGAAAACCCCGCGAGTCGGAGGGGCGTTTGAAAAAGCTCCGCGAAATGTACGGTGATGCGTCCTCTAAGACCAAAGACGAATAGAAGTAGCGGATGCTGCGCGGAAGAGCGAAGGATACGTTAAACAGTCAGACAACATGAATACAGCGGAGCAGCAAGTGGTGCGTGCATGGATCCCTTTAAATATTCGGTTAGAGTTTATGTTGCTGCTGTTAGAGTAGTACTGTTATTTTACAGCACGACGGTACTTTTGGTGGGACTCACAAGTGTTTGAGTATTTGAGGCAGAGTGACGATCACCATGGCCGACCAGCAAGCGATCCTGTGGAGTTCGCTCCTTGTAGGCACCAGTGTGGCGGTTGTAGTAGTGGGGCTCAACGCAG